ATTTAATACAATCAGCTTGGAAGATTGGATTCCATCACTCTCCAGCTTGTGATTGGAGGAAATCACTTAAAATCCATGAACCTCATTTTATCATCTCTGAAATGAGGATGATTATTCCTCTTTTATAGTCTTTCTACAGTTTTTGACACAACCTGATCAGATAAAACAGGGAGGCAGATTAGCATAAACTTTTGAGTCAAACAGATCTGGCCTTGTGTCTTAGTCTATTCAGGCTGCTGTAAAAAAAAAATAAATACCATGGAATGGTATTTATAAATGACGTAAATTTATTTCCCACAATTCTGGAGGCTGGGAAGTCTAAGGGCAAGGTACTGGCAGATTTGGTGTCTGTTGAGAACTCTCTTCCTGGGCCATAGATGTTGCCTCTTCACTGTGTCCTCACATTGTGGAAGAGTCAAAGGAGCTTCCTCAGGCCTCTTTAAGGGCACTAATTCCCATTCATAAGGGCTTCACCTTCATGATGTAATCATCCCTGCCCCCAATAGGCCCCACCTCCAAATACCATCACCTTGGGGGTTAGGATTTCAACATATGAATTATGGGGGATGCAAACATTCAGGCCATAATACCTTGAAATCCATCTTTCCCCCTTTATAAGTATATGTGGCTTTGGGCGAGTGATTATCCTCTGAGATTGTTGTCTTTGTAAAATGAGAATTCATCAAATGTTTAGCATTTAATAGGTGCCAGGGACAGGTTTAGGCAATAAGGTAAAAATTAATAAGTCACAGGGTAATTGGGTTATTGAATATGAGATTTATAAAGCACATATCAAGGTAACTAGCACAAAGCAAACACCTAATAACATCTGTCATCATCATCATTATTATTATAAAATCTTTGCTAATTAAATGTGTTATTTTGCATATACTATTTTGCATAAAATTATAAAGTTGTCTGTCTTCCAGAAGTGGATTAAACCAGACAAAAATAATGAATTTTAGAATATTTATGTATGAGGCATGATTTATGATGACCTGAAATAAAAATCATAGCACTGCATTTTCAATTGCAGAAGCATGGAGCATCTCTTGATAATTTCCATTTCATAGGTGTGAGCTTAGGGGCTCATATTAGTGGACTTATTGGAAAGATATTTCATGGTCAACTTGGAAGAATAACAGGTAAGACTATTTTTTATAAAATTTTTGTTTTAGTACACTTTTAAGCATCAATTTTAATTTAAACTTTAACAGGCATAACAATTAAACAATAGTAATTAAGCACAATTTTTTTCTATGTTATATTCAAATATTAGTCTTCATTTTGGTTAGATTCTAAAGTCTTTCCTTAGTTCTTAACAGAGTTTGTTACCCAGATGGAAACAAGAAGAAAAGATCAATTTCTGCAGCCCTATCTAAATCTTAAGGAAACATCATTGTAAATATACAGAGGAAAATTTAGCTCATTAAATTAAAAAATACTTCATTTATATACTAATAACTATGTATTTAATTTTCACATGCTTTGGTATATTTAAATTCTTTAAAAAATTTTACTTGAATACTAGAAGAGAGAATCAGGAATTGGTGTCCAAGTTTGAGGGATTCTGGATCTCAATTTCCCTCATATTTCCATCGTAAAGTTACTCTATTGAGAAGGCTCAGTAACCCATAATGCTGACGTATCTTTTCATTCTTTCTAGGAGTGGTGGTGATTTTAGAATTAGAAGGAAAATATCCTTCACTCAATCAATTTGCCTTTTTTAAAAAAATGTAATTATCGATATCTGTGTTCGTAGAAGATTTATAATGATTTCAAGTGTTAATAAAAGGTAATAGAGTCTTTAGTTAAATTTCGAATCATGGGGAGGAGAGAGGTGAATAACTTGTATAGATAGTGAGGATCTTTACAAGCCTTAAGTATATCCCAACTTGTTTGATCGCTTTTAATATTATCCGTATCATATGTATGTGAAAATTGAGGTTAACTGATTCAAAACAGGAGGGTCAAAAGTAACAGCTAAGCCAGGACTTACACAGAGGTCTCTAACACCTGAAGCTTGTTCTCCCTCAGTGACCACACTTGCTTCATTTGAACTGGTGATAATCCTGCTTTTTTAAAGCATATTAGTGCAGTCTGAATGGCCCCGAATTCCAGGCAACCATTAGGGTTTAAAATGTCAGCAAATGTGGAGGTTCTACATCAGAATAATTTACAGGAAGAGAGGTTTCTTTCTCAAGTGGGCTAGTGGGCTAAATAAGATAGGGATAGTAGAAGACCCTGAAATAAACATTATACTTCACTTCTTAAAATATCTTCTTAAGATGATGTTTCTTCCATCACACAGATGTTCTCAAGGAATTGGAATTTATCTCCGTTCCACCTTTTTTTATATTCTCCAGAAAGTCATTAGGCTAGAATTTTTATTTAGAATTTAAGATACCCCAGATGCAATATTTGTACTCCATGGAATTTTTAATACTTTTTTCTTAAGAGCACATGGGAAACTCTTGTGAGAAACAGATGATAAGATAATAATAAATATGTTTTATTTCACAGCTCAGATTGCATTTTGCAACTACAAAGCATTTTAGACATACAGATATATATATCCAGAGTGAGTTAGTAAGGCAGAGTTCAAGAGAGGACCAAATGATAATCATTATTTTTTCCCTTCAGGAGAAGTAATAATTATTAAATATAAAGTTACTGTTGGTTTGCTTTTGTTTATTTCTTAAATACAAATGCTCAAAAACTCCTATGATATTTTGTTGAGGCATCTCTAATGTGGCTTAACTTGACAACCTCTGAAGGTTAGTAATGAGTATTATTCAAATAATGAAGATACTTACTATTTATCTAATTTTATTTACCTTTAGATATGTTTTTGGACAGGTTTAAATTGAAACTGTACATACTTGTGTTTATAATGCAATAATAATGCAAACATGCAATATAATGTGCACTGTAGTAAGGCTTGATTAACTTGATAGTTTCTTTCTTGTATTTCAGGTCTTGACCCTGCTGGGCCAGAGTTTTCTGGAAAACCATCAGAGAGCAGATTAGATTACACTGATGCAAAGTTTGTGGATGTCATCCATTCTGATACCAATGGTAAAAATGTAGGACTTATTGCTTAATTATTTGAAAATGAAAAAGGAAATGTAGACCCTAGGAAAGAGGAGAATATAGCAGGTGAAAGAGTTGTGGATAACATGATTTTGAATCTGTAATTACAGAATGATAGTATTTCCCACTAGCAGTATTTCCTGGGGTTAGTGATTTCTTGCATTGTCAAATGGCACTCTTTGCCTTCAGCCTGCCTCCCTCAGGTTTCAAGAAGTGCCATGTCATTGCTAAAAAAATTTGAAATTTGATAAATAAAAGTTCATCCTGTTCATGTTATTGACAGTTTTATTGATTTGATCACATTTTCCCCAGGCTTAATGTTCCTGATGTATTTAGGTTACCATTCTCTCCACTCATTTTCTCACTGTGATGATACCAGCTTGAACTGAGCACAGCACTTTAGCCACAGATAGTTTTTCCTAAAGATAGGGAAGTAATTTCTCTATTGTTTTTAATTATCTTCCTGAAAAATCTCTAACAGGTTACTAATAGTTTTGGCCAAAGTACATTGAACAGACACGCCACCGGGCCACCCCGAACAGCGCGCCACCGGGCCGGCCCCGAACAGACACTTTTTTTAAGGAATAATTTGGTTTGTCCTGATGCCTTTCCTGATTTGAATCTCATAATACTAAAATTTTTTGAGCACTTCCTATACATCAGGCAGTGTTTTTAGTGCTTTGTGTGAATGAATTACTGAATTCTTTTCAGTCCCCATGGGACAGATAATCATTATCATTCTCCTCTTACAGATGGGGAAACTAGGGTCAAGGTCACAAGGCCAGGAAGCAGCAGAGCTAGTATTTGAAATCATGTCTTCTGATTTCAGAGTCTGCTTCACCAATGTGTTATTCTGATAAACTGATAATTTAGGTGTGTTGCACTAGTAGACATGGGGAGGATATGGTGCTAAGTTAGAGACAAGAAGTGACACTAAGACTTTTCCTGTTTCCCCATTTCCTCAGTTTTCCTTTCTCTTCGATCTAGGTAATGTAATTGCTCCCATATTATTCTGAATTTATCTTGTGATGACCCATACTATATTTTTGTGAGATATATAAATGCCATTAATGACAATTCTTCAACTCCCATAACTGCATGCCCATGGATAGAGACTATAATGGGAACAGTTCTGTTCTTTATTTGGAAGCTAGGTTCACCTGCTTCTTACAGGACTTCAGTGCCTAAAGCTTCACAGTTTTATTATGGTACTTCAACCTCTCATTTTCTTTATCACTAGCTCTTTATAGCAGCTTAGCACTCCCACATGCAGTACACCTATTGGCAAATTACTCTGTGGTCCCTTGTCTGAATTCTTTCTGGAATCCCAACTTCAGTTCTACCTATGGCCTTTTGAATTAGCTCTTCATACCTTTTATTATTTTTGTTTCCATTTTTTACTTTTTCTAAAAAAAAACTGTCTTGAATTTTCTTATATTCTCAACATCTTTTGATGATTTGATCTATCAGATCTAACTTTCTACTAGATGCCACATAGATGGCTTTTAATTGATCTTTTTATGGCCAACACAAATAAAGAACACAGATTTTTGACACTGTATATTCACCTGTCTCAAGGAATTTCTAAAAGAGATACTTGGGCTCAGCATACTCAGATACTTGGAAGACTGACTTTTCTTTGAATGCTAACCAATGACTGCATCTTCTACTTGCTAATTGTACTTGTCCTTATTCAGTTGTGTATGTTAAAGAAGTTATGTGGCCTTCAAAATTGTGGAGTAGGCAATTTGGACAAACATTCTTGCTGTGATATTGGGGAAAATCACCAGTCCAATATCCATAAGATTAAAAAAAATCAAGGGAGGTGAACTGGTAATTTAGAATCACTTTTTCTTTTTTTTTTCATGGATGGTTTTCCGATGCAGAATCTGGGAAGTGCTGTTAAAACCTTTATATGGGGCTCATACAACATCTCTTATACTTGTATGGGACCCCAAAGGACAGCACTATAGGAATAAGGGTTAACTTGAAACAAAGTAATTTTTTTAGTGGTCTGTAGTCAAGCTTCTAGTCATCTGATTTGTTTAGAAAAATTTTATTTACTGAGTTTAAGTACATCCTGGATTTTTGGAGCTCATAGTTAACTAACAGAAGCAGCAATAGGCCTCTTTGTAAGAAGATCATATCACCTTTGGTATCAGATTATTCTTACAAAAACCTTTAGAAATAAATTCTCAGCATCCAAATAAAAATAGCCAGGCACACTTAAAGCAAGACAGCACGAATGAAAAACAGAAAAATAATGGTCAATAGAAAAGATCTATAGGCCCTCAGATATTGGAATTAATATTTTCAAAGAGATAAAAGATAAGACTGAAAATTTCAATAGAGAATGAGTGAATATAAATAAGACCGATTATGTTTAATAAAAATAATGGTAGTTCTTACTCATAAAAGTAAAATAATTGACATTCACTGAATGAGTTTAACAGAAAATTTGAAACAGGTGAAGAGAGAATGAATGAGTGAACTAGAGAATAGTAGAGAAGTAAATTTCTAGAATGAAGCAAATGTATTTCAAAGAATGGATCTACAGACAGAGCTAAGGGATACATAAAATTCACAATGAAAAAGTAAATTGTGTTTCATTAGAATCTCAGAATAAAAGGAGAGAAAAATGGAACAGATGGAACAGAAGCAATATTTAAAGAGATATTATCTCAGAATTTCCCCTGAGGAAGTATAATCAATCTACCAATTCAAAGTGCCCAATTAATTCCAATTAGAATAAATGAAGATAAATGTTTCCATTGGGACACATGATAGTGAAGTTGAAGGCAAGAACCATCATCAAAGCATACATTTTAAAATATGATGAACAGAAATGACCAGTGTTACAACTAAGTTCTCAACAGAAACAACGAAATACAGTAAACAACAGAATGATAGCTTCAGTATGGTGAAGGAAAATAACTGCTAAGATAGTATCCCAATCTATTTCAGGAATCAAAGTGGAATAAATATATTTTGTTTCAGACAAATCTAAGCTGAGAGAAGTTGTCATCAGCAGAAAGGTTGATCTTTAGGCAGAAGAAACATTTCCTTAGATTGTGGAAGAAAGAACAATGAAAGGAAGAAAGAACAATGAAAATGGCATAATGTAGTTAAATCTAAATGAATACTTAGGCATAAAACACTGTTAATAACGTTTCATAGGATTTGACATATGTACAGAATTAAAATATATTACAAAAATAGTATATATATGGGGGTAGTAAATGAATTCCAAGTATTCTCTGATCCTTTTACTGTATGGGAAAAATGTTAAAGTGACCTTTCAGCATTTGGTGTTCTTAAGTAAACATGTTGAATCTCTAGGGTACCCAGGAAGAGTAAAGGAGTATATAAATTCCAAGCTGGTGGAGGACAAAAAAATATATTGAATATATTTTTTAAGAAGTCCAGAAGGCGGCAAGAAAAAAGAGGAAAAGCTTATAGAACAGGTGAAGCAAATAGAAGGTAGATAGTAAGATGGTAAAGTTAAAACCAACTGTTTCATTAAAATAAATGGCCTAATGCTCTAATTAAAATATTACAGTTGTCACACTCAACTAAAAAGACAAAAATCCAAATATGTATTATTTATTAAAGACGTATATAGAAGTAAGGAAGCAGAATGTTTGAATGTAGAAGGGTGATAAACAATATGATATGCAAATACTCTCCTCCTAATGGTTGAAAATCTGTATTAATGTAGATGAAATTTATTTCATTACAAGTCTAGTGGAAATATGGAGAGACATTAAAAGGATAAAACTTTCAACTCATCAAGAAGATGTAACAATTCTAGTCTGTATGTACCTAATAAGATGGCTTTAAAATACACAGCTCAATATTGACAGTAACACATTGTGAAAAAAATTCAATAGCACAATCATAGTGAGAAACTTTAATTAACACAATTGATCTAATGGACATTTGTAGAACATTACACCTGACAACTGCAGAATATACATTCTCTTAAAGTATGCATGGATAGTTTACAGACGTTGAGCATAACTGGGCTTTAAAGATATTCTCAAACACTTCAAAGTGTAGAAATCATATTCTCAATTTTCAATGCAATTAATCCATAATTAAATAAGAAAAATATAACTAGAAAATAAATATATTTTGTAAATTAAGAAACACATTTTTAAATAATGAGGAAAAAGTAAATAATGAAAATAGAAAGTATTTTAATTAAATAATATTTAGGTTACTGCATATTAAAACTGGATTCAGCAAAAGCCATGACTAGATGTAAATATATAGTTTTTTATGCTGCTGTTTTAAAAGGGTTAAAATCAGTAATCTAAACATCTATGTTAGAAATTATTAAACATAAAATAAACACATAGAAATGGAGAAAGAAGTAGATATTAAACACACAAAAGAAATTAATAGAATAGAAAAAAATTATAAATATTTTCAAAAGCCAAAACCGAAGAGAGAATTAAGATGGTGGAATAGGCAGTCCTCAGCATCACTCTGTCCCGCAGCTGACCAATTTACAACTATTAAAAAGTGAAGACTACCAAGCTGGGGCCACGAGAGCCCAGGGGAAAAGGAGGAGAGACCTATGGAGTTCATTAAGGCAGAAGAAGCTGTAATGAGAGAAAGAAGGGACGGCTCTAACCGTTTTAAGCTCTGGTCACTTCAAGGCTGGCTCTCATGAGCACTCAGGGCAAGAGCTGGCAGAAACTGCAGCTGTGCCCTTGTGTGCAGTTGCTTGGAGACTGCAGGGGAGTGGAGGGCTGTGGGGGCCCCTAGGCCAGCAAGACCACTGACAGGGTTCCCATGGACCCAAACAGAAGTGAGAGGCCCCAGACAACTGAAAAAAGTAGCCACTCAAAGGCTGGTGAGTCATCACAAGGGACTGGAATGTGGCCATGTTTGCTGAAAAGATTCAGTCCCAGACCAGAGTTTCCACACAGCCCAGGTATATCAGACCTCACAAGACCCGAAAGTGCTTAAAAGGTCAACAGTTAAAACCTGAGCTCCACAAAAAGACTTCCCCAGAGAATCAGTAGCAAAGCAGAAAATCAGCTCAACCACAGGGCTCAAGTGCTGGTACCCACAGGAAGTTCCCCCATTTTAGAAGTAACCAAAGAACAATAAATTAGTTCCAGTGCAGAGTTTAACTGGTGGGGACAGCTAATAATCCAACAGAGAACTGAAAGAAAACACAAAAAACCCACAGATAAGAGACAAAGTTCTGATATTAACTAGTAAAGGTCTAACACCACCAAAGAACACTTACAAAANTCATCACAAGGGACTGGAATGTGGCCATGTTTGCTGAAAAGATTCAGTCCCAGACCAGAGTTTCCACACAGCCCAGGTATATCAGACCTCACAAGATCCGAAAGTGCTTAAAAGGTCAACCGTTAAAACCTGAGCTCCACAAAAAGACTTCCCCAGAGAATCAGTAGCAAAGCAGAAAATCAGCTCAACCACAGGGCTCAAGTGCTGGTACCCACAGGAAGTTCCCGCATTTTAGAAGTAACCAAAGAACAATAAATTAGTTCCAGTGCAGAGTTTAACTGGTGGGGGCAGCTAATAATCCAACAGAGAACTGAAAGAAAACACAAAAACCCACAGATCAGAGACAAAGTTCTGATATTAACTAGTAAAGGTCTAACACCACCAAAGAACACTTACAAAAACTAGAAGAACCTAAAGCCACCCGAGTTCCCGAGCTGGGGGGGGTGGACTGAGGGCCTCAACTATACCACCCCTCCCCACGTCGGCATCCAGCCCAACGATGACTGTACCACTGCTGGAAGCTGGGGGGTGCCCCTGGGCTTTAGTCACATCCCCCTGCCTCCACAACCAGGCCAGCAAAGGAGCCAGCTGTGGGCCCTGCCTCCTGCCCCTGTCTCCGTCCCCCTACCTCCCTCCTACTCCCACTGCTCTGCAACAACATCTTAGAATATAAAAAAATAATCATAATTAAATTATTTTTTTAAAAGACAAAAAGTCAAAACTTGCACTTTGGAAAAGACATAAAATTAATGAATTATTTTTATAAAATGTAATTATGTCACTTTTGCTTTATTTCCATATAATAAAAGGAACACAGAATACCTGAACTACATATATCACTTCCTAAAATTAATAAATCCTTGGAAAAAGAAAACAGGGAAGACAAAGATAAAAGGAACAACTAGTATCAACAATAAAAAAAGTTATAGTGTTATGCATTCTAAAGGTATTAAAATCACTATAATGAATGATATTATGCAAATAAATATAAAAAATATAAATTAAATTCTTAGGAAAAAGCAAAAGCATTTCCCAGAGCTGACGAAGNTCCTACTCCCACTGCTCTGCAACAACATCTTAGAATATAAAAAAATAATCATAATTAAATTTTTTTTTTAAAAAGACAAAAAGTCAAAACTTGCACTTTGGAAAAGACATAAAATTAATGAATTATTTTTATAAAACGTAATTATGTCACTTTTGCTTTATTTCCATATAATAAAAGGAACACAGAATACCTGAACTACGTATATCACTCCCTAAAATTAATAAATCCTTGGAAAGAGAAAACAGGGAAGACAAAGATAAAAGGAACAACTAGTATCAACAATAAAAAAGGTTATAGTGTTATGCATTCTAAAGGTATTAAAATCACTATAATGAATGATATTATGCAAATAAATATAAAAAATATAAATTAAATTCTTAGGAAAAAGCAAAAGCATTTCCCAGAGCTGATGAAGACAGAGAAAACCTGAATCATTCTTTAATTATTAATAAAATTGAAGCCCTAATTTAAAATCTTCCAACGAAGAAAATTCCAGAGAAATTTTGGTTCTGTATAATAAAGAGAGAACTAAGACCACTTTCACACACTTTCTGAGAATGAAAAGATATAGGAAAGAGTTTACAGCCATTTTTATGGCCATCATAAGTGTAGTCAATACTTAAGGAAGACATTATAGAAAAGAAAAAGTACAGGTCATACTCTGTTAAAATCATAGATGCAAAAATTTTGCGTAAAATATTGCATTAGTAAACCAATTCATAAACATATGAAAAAGATAATGAATTGCAACCAATTTGGATTTCGTATAGCAACGAATGACTACATTTACACCTGACAATGTGGATTAATATCACTAACATATTAAAAATTTTAAAAAGGTAGACACAAAAGCATACATAAAATATGAGTCAATGTATGTTCGAAATAGGCAAATCTAAACTACACAGTTTGGGGAGGTGTATTTAGAAGGTAAAGAATAACAAAGAATTATTTTATTAAAAGAATGGGTGGTGGTTATGGTTGTTATTTTTAGGGGAAAAAGAGAAGCTTGTGATTGGCACATTGAGGACTTTTATTTTTTTTTTATTTTTTTTTTTTTTCCTTTTTGTCTTTTTTCGTGTCCGGCAATGGATCGCAACCCTCAGTGTCGCGCCCGTACCGGACCGGGACCGGCAACGGGATCGCAAACCTCAGTGTTGCGCCCACACCTCGCTCAGCCAGTGAGCGGGAACCGGTCTGTACGTGGGATCCGAACCCTCGGCGGGAGCGCCACTGCGCTTCCCAAGCGGCGCACTGTAGCAGTGCGCCACCGGGCCGGCCCGCGGACTTTTAGATGCTATTTCATGATATGGGTGTGGTGGCTACACAGCTATTTGCTTTATAATAATTAGTATTATTACTAATACTAATAATAATTAGCTAATAATTATTAGTATTACTAATACTAATAATAATTAGCTACTAATTATTATTACTAATACTACTAATAATTACTACTAATAATTAGCTATATATATAATAATATATAGCTTTATGTTTTATGTTCTTTTATGCATAAAACATAACATATATAAAAATGTCTTATATTTTACAATAAAAAGAAAAGTCAAAAGCCAAATCTGCTCTCCCCTCCCTTTTCGAAACCAAAGGGATGAATGACCTAAGCAGACCAAACTGCCCTGCCCACTCCATCTGATAAAAGGAAAATGACGTGTCTGAAACAAGGGCTCTTGTAAGTCAGTAACAAATATCTTTTGCTTATCCCTGATTACTGATCAGTCCTGTTAAATTCCACTCAGAGGTAGGTTGGAGAAAAAGGATGGCTTCAAACTAGATTCCTAGTCTCGGAACTACATGTTGAGTTCAAATATGAGGAAATTTCACAGATCTCCAAAATTGAGGCAAAACGAGTGAGAGTGTGTGTGTGTGTGTGTGAGAGAGAGAGAGAGAGAGAGAGAGAGAGAGAGAGAGAGAGGAGTGAGAGTGTGTGTGTGTGTGAGAGAGAGAGAGAGAGAGAATGATATTTAGAAGACTGCCCTTCCTTGCTTAAATTCTACAAGCTAAATGGATGATGGATGTAAAAAGGGATTGGCTAGCATACCCTCACCACTGCCACAAGCAGATCACACATACACTTCGTTCGATTCTAGGGAGTTCTAGTACAGTCATCTCAGATTTCCTTTGTCTTTCCTTATATGCTGAACACCCCACCCCCATGTGCAAGGGGACTTCAAAGAGTCCATGGAAAGATTTGTATTATCTTTTCATTCTATTTTTCCGCAAACCTTTTGAAGTACCTTGTGCATGGTCAGTGTTTTCACATCCCTACAACACCCCAAAGTTGCTGCAACTAAATCCTTACTGTCAGATCTAAGTAGTATCTCTGTTATGCTACATCTGTTGCTGATTCCTCTCATGAGTTCACTATGTTGTAGGAAATTTTCTGTGCCACAAGCCAAAGCATTGCAATCTTACCTGGCACCGAGATTTTATAACTAGTCACAGTCCTGAGTATTCTGAGCTTGTTACCCCTTTTCACTCTTATGGCTCTCCTGGGTTACAGACCACATATTGGTAGTGGACTCAGAATGTCTACCTTCCCCAGTGCCCCAAGGATCTACAGATCTACAGAAGCCCTTAAATCATAGCCTATGTTTCATGACATTCTGCCCAAGTTGTTCCAGTGGAGGCAGCATATTCTTTAGATTTTTCTAGTTGGTGAATCTGGCACCAACAAGTTCTAGGCATTATCATCCAGAGTGAGAGAAACCATCACACTGACTTGGCTTCATTTCCTCCAATGCTCTCTCTTACACATTATGCTTCAGCCACCTGGCTTCTTGACCATCCCAAGTGTGCTTACACAGATGTCCACTGCCTCACTGCCTCACAGCCTTCACATCTTTCACATCCTTGCTCAACTCCAGCTTTCTCAGTGGGAAATTCCCTGACCAAACTACTTCAGAGTGCAACTACCACCCTCGTTAGGTACTTTGTCTCCTTGTTTGACTTAATTTTTCTCCATAGCACTTATTGTTATCTGACATACTGTACTTTTGTTTATTATATCTTCTTCCCCCTTGAAAATATTTTCCACTACAACAAAGATTTTTGCTCTATTTTTTTCAATTATGCATTCATAGCAGAAAGGATTATGACTGGCTTATAGTAAACTGGTAAGTGGCACATATGTTAAGTTAATGAAATATAATGTTCATGAAGAATTAATACCAGAAATCTTTTTAAAAATAACATTTATTATATTTTCATTTCAAATTTTTTAAAAGTCAATATCAATGGATTTTATAGAAGATTTTGTTTTGTACAAGTTGCTCAGCTGATTAGATACACTTTGTGATTCTAAGGTGCTTCTTTTTTCAGGTTTAGGCATTCAAGAGCCATTGGGACATATAGATTTTTATCCAAATGGAGGAAATAAACAACCTGGTTGTCCTAAATCAATTTTTTCAGGTATACCAACAATATTTTTGAATGAATTACATATGATTCAAAATGATGAAAAAAATTTGCTTTTTCTTTTCTCTCAATCTGTTGGAAATATTTTGGTTTAATCACCATTGCTAGTAATTCAGGAGTGCTATTGGTCAAAAATGGTTTAATTTTCTCCTGATTAGTTTATAAAGGTTACCATTAGACATCCTATTTGGTTATAGATGAGACATATTATGTTATGGTTTCAACAGTTTTAGTTCATCATTTTAAACAAGTCATTGAGGAAACACTGATAGTAAAGTATCATGTAACAAAAGCTTGATCTTAAGATTTAAACTTTACCATCTTCATATTACTCTGCAATCACAAATTTATAAACTCTTGACACTTGACTTTTCTGGACATAGAGATAACTGAGAAACTACTCCAGGTGTGGACGTTGGCTTACTTTAGAGCCATAGCAGGAAATGTTCATTTGACAATGACAACTAGTCAAGTAACACATGGTCAAAGGCCACTGCAGCTACAGAAGTTTAGTCAAAGTGATGAGGATTCAGAGATTGGGGAAGGAAAGAGAGGTGATAAAGTTTTAATGGCACCTAGTTTTGTGGTCATGTCTGACATTGAGTGGAAATGTTAGGGGTGCAGAATTAGAAGGGAAAGATGTGTACACTGTGTTTGCAGAGCTTGTTATTAATTGAAATTAAACATTTTTGCTTAGTTAATTATTACTTTAGAAAATTTTACTATAAATCTCATGTAAAAGGCATACTAAAGTTTTCAATGGTACTTTTTTTAATTGCTTGAGATAAAACTGTGTATTGTATTAAATACAATATTTAAATATTAAATATTCATAAGGTGCACAGTATTTAGTAGAATATAATCTTTATGTTTTCTTTAATTTACTTGAAGCTTAAATTTTCATAAGGTGCATAGTATTTAGTAGAACCTTATTTTTTCTTTAATTTACTTGAACTTGACTTAATATATCTACTGTTGTTTTGCTTGCTTTTTAAACCTTAAGGAATTGAATTTATTAAATGTGACCACCAGAGAGCAGTTCATTTGTTCTTGGCATCTTTGGAAACAAACTGTAGTTTTATTACATTTCCTTGTCATTCATACAAAGATTACAAGACTAGTTTATGTGCGGACTGTGACAGCTTTAAGGAAAAATCATGTCCTAGGCTAGGTAAGAGAGATTGTTAACTATAAATCTTTTTGAAAATGAATAATGTAATTGTGTTAATATTTTCTGCTGGGAGCTAAACTGTGCTTTATACTTACATGTTAATAAATTAACATTTTATGGAAAAATTATCTGTGATGATGTGGCAAAACCAGAGTAAATATTTCATTTTCTACTAAATATTTTTAAGATATTTAATGACAGAAATTTGATTAATTGCCTTTCTATGCTCAATGTAGTGGGTAAATTCAGTGATCATGATGATCCTTGTTTTTTTGATATACAAAAGATCTAATTACCAATCATCCAACTATATTTCCACTTTAAGAAAGATACACATTCTTGGCAGCAGTGATAGTTTTTTATTTTTTTATATGGTAAGTCTTAGGGGCAAGTGAAGAGGTGTGAACCATAGTTAGCTTTTCATTTGCTATCAGCAGGTAGACATGAATCATACATAGTTCACACCTTCTAAATTGATAACACTTGGTATGAGCAGTTAAGCGTTGCAACTGCTGATAACTAACACCTGCCAATAGGAAATTATACAGAAAAAATAATCTACATAAAAATAGAAAGTTAGAACTGGAAATCATCTCAGAGGCTGTTTGTTCAGGTTTTTCAAAGAGAATGCCAGACCCAAGCATGTCATGAGCATGTGAACAGCTGATCAGTATCATGATGGGATCTTCCAGAAATGTTTCCAAAGCCAGAGGGGCTTGAAGAATGGGTAGTGATTACAAAGGCTAAACTAAACCATATGCAGTTAGATTTCTTCAGCAGGACTAATGCACATGGAGAATCTCTAGGAGAGGCAGGCACAATGCAGGCTTTGCCAAATTTATTGTTTCATATACCTCTTCTGTCTGCAAGATATTATGTGGGATTAGTTTTCTTCAGACTTCATATTGTGGATTGCTTTTCTGGTCCCATCATTTTTTCATGTAATGAGAAAAAAAATATGTGAAGCTTTTGAAATATGCACACGAGGGTACTTCAAAAAGTTCATGGAAAAAATTATTAAAAGACAATACAAATCTTTCTGTGAACTTTTTGAAATACCCTTGTATATAAAATATTATTTATAAATTTTATAAATATATAAATATATCATATTCAATATAGAATATATTCTTTATGTACATACAACTTATCTATCTGAAATATATATTATATATACAATATGTAGTGTTCAGACACTCTCTTTTCTACATAGACGTGTATAGTATATGTAATGTGTACGCATGTGTACCATATCTGTATGTAGGTATACATAGGAGAATTGGGGGACTGCATTCATGGAGTTTAACTGTGTGATCAAGTTTTATGTAATCAATTGCTGAATTTACTCTCTTTTCTACATAGATGTGTGTAGTATATGTAATGTATACGCATGTGTACCATATCTGTATGTAGGTATACATAGGAGAATTGGGGGGACTGCATTCATGGAGTTTAACTGTGTGATCAAGTTTTATGTAATCAATTGCTGAATTTACTAAAAAGAATTACAAGTAAAACTCTGAATTTATAATATGATAGTAAAACCTGCTGCAAATAGACTATAGCCATATGGAGTATCCTAAGCTCCAATAAGATTTTCAGGGAGCAGATTTATTTGTGAATCCTGAATGTAAGAGTTGCTATTGTAATTAAAATAAATAGAATGACACATTATTTGAAAAATGCTTTGTAAATTATAACAATTTATAATAATAATATGATGATGATATACATTGATCATTTAGCTACTTTAATGACTTGAAATTTTTATATCCTATTTGATAGAAGTCCAATTTCCAATGTGCTATTTCTTGAATCTCAGGTTATCAAGCTGATCTATGGAAAGGCATTTTAAAAGAAAGAATGGAAAGAAGACATTTTAGAACCACTGCGTTTTTGGATACTAGTGGAACATATCCATTCTGTAGTAAGTTTTTAACATTTTTAACAAATGAGCAAATCATTAATTTTTTATACTCATTTACACTTTACCCAAAATGTTCTTTGTGCCCACTAAAATTCCATCATACACTTCCAGAGAAATTTAAAGTTTGTTAGGGCCAGTTGAACAAATTCAACTAAGGACTTGATTTTTTAGATAAAATAAACAGATGCTTATGCAATATTTTCCCCAAAAAGCAATCAAGGTTTCTATCCCTGTCCCCCAAATTTGCATGATTATCCTTACCACTTTAAGGAGCTCAAGACATCTATCTATACTATACACCTATTTGGGAACTGAAACTAAATTGTATAAGTACAAAAAAGAGTAAGTAATAATCTTCCTAGTATGTTTAGAGTTAAACAAAAGGAGAAAACTTATAGAATAAGACAGAATCTCATAGAAATGTTTTAAATAATTAAACTTATGAGGTAGTATTAAAGAAAGCAAAATTAGTCTGTTTAGAGATGAAAAGCTGGAAGTGGTTTGTAAATAAAAATGAATCTTATAATATTGAGGAATCTTATAAAAGAAGTTTTTAGTTACTGGCACTGACCTTGGTTACTGGGGGATAAATACTTAAAATAGATTTCCATATTAGAAAATATTTTTAGGTCAGTTATTAATGTTTTTCAGAAATAGTTGCTATCAACTTCAAAATATTATTCTTTAAACATTAATGATGTTAAAAATTTTATTGAATTAATTTTAGATTCACAAGCACAGGTAAGAAATAATACAGGATTGCATTTCCATCTGAAATCCATTTTGATTTAGTTTTTGTGTAAGATGCTAGATTTGGGTTAGTTAATTTTTTGCCTGTGGATGTCCATTGGCTTCAGCACCAATGGCTCCAGCACCATTTATTGAAAAGGCTATCCCTTATTGAAGTGCTTTTGCATCTTTACCAATAGTCAGTTAAGCATATTTGTTTTGGTCTATTTCTGTTGGAGCTATATTCTCTTCTGTATTTTGTTTTGTTGATGTATGTATTCATCGCTTGTTCAGTACCACACAGTATTAATATAGCTATAAAGTAAATCTGAATATCAAGTAAAGTGATTATTTTCTCTTTATTCTTCTTTGTTATGATTATTTTATATTCTACTATGTGCACTTTTTAGTATAAATTTTAACATAAGGTTATCTGTGTCTTCAAAAACTTGGCTAGGGTTTTGATAAGAATTTCATTAAACCTACAGAATAATTTTGGAGAGAACTGACATCTAATTCATAAACATAGTTTGTCTTTCTATTCACTTTGATTTTTGATGTCTTTCATCAGCATTTTGTAATTTTTGGCATTCAGATCCTGTACATCTTTTGTTAGATATATACCTTAGTATTTTTTTGAGTGATTGTAAAGGGTATTTTAAAATTTTGATATCCTTATGTTCTTTATTAATATATAGAAATGGCATTAAATCTTTTGTTTCCTGGGACTTGCTGAATTCACTTATTATTTCTAGGATTTTAAAAAATAGATTCAGTGGCATTTTCTATGTTAACAGTCATTTACAAATAGAAATGCTTTTATTTCTTCTGTTCTAATCAGTGTGCATTTTATTTATTTTTCTTGACTTATTGCAGTGTCTCAAACTTTCAGATCTATGTTGAATAAGAGTGGTGAGGGCAGACACTCTTGCCTTAGAGGTAAAACATTCAGAGTTTTGCCATTAAGTGTGATGTAACCTATAGGTTTTTTGTACATACTCTACAAAATTAAGTCAATTCCCCTCTGTTCCTAACTTGCTAAGAGTTTTTCTCATAAATGCACGTTAAATTTTGTCAAATACCTTTTCTGTATCACTGATACGATCATTTGACTTTTCTTTTTTAGTTTGTTGATATGTTGGATAACATCGATTGATTCCAGAATGTTGAACCAGCTTTGCATTCTTCTTATAAATCCTGTTGGTCAAAGTGCTTTGTTTAATACATTGTTTGATTTGGTTTGTTAATATTTTGTTAAGGATTTTTGTTTCTAAGTTCATGAGAGATATTTGCTGGAAGTGTTTCTTTTTTGGCTCCCTTTGTCTGGTTTTGGCATAAGAGTGATACTGTCCTCATATAAGAGTAATGCAACCTTATAAAATGAGTTGGCAAATGTTCCCACATCTATTGTATTTTCTGGGACAGATTGTGCAAAGAAAATCAATTCTTCTTTAAATGTTTGGTAGAATTTTTTCAGTGAAACAATTTGGGCCTTAAAACTTATTTTCAGGAGACTTTTCATTAAAATTTTAATTTCTTTAATGGTTTGGTACTACTTAGACTATTTCATCTTCGTTGAGTTTTCGTAGTTTGTAGTTTTCAGGGAACTGGTCTATTTATTCTAAGGTATTCAATTATGAGCACTAAGTTTTTTCATATTGTTTTCTTATTTTTTTTTAATGTTTGCAGGATCTGTAGTAATATCATCTATTTTATTCCTGATAGTGGTTTGTATCTTATCTTTTTCAATTTTTGTAAGTCTTTCTAGACCAATTTTATTGCTTCTTTTGCTCAAGAACTGGTTTATTTAATTGGTTTTCTGTTGATTTTCTTTATTAAATTTTATTGATTTCTGCTATATATATTTGTATATAATATACATTATATGTATATGTTTTCTTCCTTTTTGCTTTTTTTGGGGTTTATTTTGGTTTTCTTTTTCTATTTTTTTGAATCAGGAACTTAGATTGTTGTTTGAGATATTTCTTCATTTCTAATATAAGCATTTAGTGCAATGAATTTCCTTCTGAGCATTGCTTTAGTCGTATCCTACGTGTTTTGATACATTATATTTCCATTTTCATCCTGTTTTCTGTATTGTTTGAGACTTCCTTTTTGACCATGGGTTATTTATAAGCATGTTGTTTAATTTCCATTGTTTAGAGATTTTCCTGTTGTCTTTCTGTTACTGATTTCTAGTTTGATTTTATTATAGTTAGAGAAAAAGAACTGTAAAATTGCAGTTCTTTTGAATAGTTTAAGGTTTCTTATATAGCCCAGGATTGATCTATTAGGTGAATGCTCCACAGATACTTATAACAAATATGCATTTTGCTGTTATTTGGTGGAATATTCTATGCATATGTGTGTGTGTTTGTGTGTGTGTTTATATATGTTAATAAGATTGGTCTCAACTCACTACATCATCAACTCAAAAGTGTGTGTGTGTGTGTGTTTATATATGTTAATAAGATTGGTCTCAACTCACTACATCATCAACTCAAAAGTCTCTAAACTCAACAGATAAAAAGTTCCAAATTTCATAGTCCAATTCATTTAAATCTGGTTTGGTAGAAGACTTGGCCGACATCATCAATCTTTGGGCACAATTTGTCATCTGTGAACCTGTGAAACTCAATAATCAAGTTATCTGTTCCCAAAATACAATGATGAGACAGTCATAGGATACCAGTTAGAGACATTCTTGTTTAGAAGAGGAAAATGAAAGGAAAATAGATAGTCCCACGCAATTTTAAAATCAGGCCAGGCACACTCTATTTGCTTTCAAGGCCTGCTGATAGTATCCTGTGGTTAATGGCTCTGCTCCCTGGATTCATGTCTCTGTGTGTTGGCCTTTCAGTGTCGTTGTTGTTGTTGTTCTTCTTCTTCTTTTTCTTCCCCTTCCTCCTCCTCCTCTTCCTCCTCATTCTTCTGTATGAATAGTAGCATATATTTGCAGCTGAGTAGTTTTATCAGCCTGTTTCTTTTTTGTAGGATTTTTGGGAGTCTCACAATGTTCTTTCATTTCATACTTCCTCTGTTGCTTTTGATTCAGACTGGCAGTATTCATGCTGCTATGATATTCTCAAAAACTTTGTGGATATCTACATAGTTCACAGAGATTTACTCCAATAGACAAGAGGCTTCTCTACATATCTTTAATGGACAATTCTACCTCTATTATTGGCTTCTGCTGAGATGGATGAGTCACACCCTTAATATTTCCAAAGAACCTTTTGTGTGACTGAACACTCTGACTTTTTATTTTTCTGAGGGGAAGGGTTGTTTCAGCTGCACCCTCAGTGTTTTCTCCAAAGCATGATTTTATAATGGTAAATCTCTTAGTTTTAGCATCTTTTGTAAGCTTGTTAAGCTGAGGATTTCTCAAATTAGGATCATTTTTTACACAACAGTTTTATCTCAATTTCTGTCTTTTTTCTTACACTTCACTATGAGCACCACGAAGAAAGCAAGCCACACTTTCCAATTGTGCTTGGAAATCCCTTCAGTTAAATGTCCAGTTTCTTCATTTACAATTTCTTCTTTCCTCATAATCACAGGACATAATTCCACTAAACTGTCCACCACTATGTAGCAAAGATTGTTTTTCTTCCAGTTTCCGATAGCATGGTTCTTATTTCTTCTGAGTCCTCAACAGCAGCACTCTAAGCATCCATATTCATGCCATAAGAGATCCATATTTCTGTGAACAGTCTGTTTGCAAGGTATGTTTTCTCTATCATGTTTCGCACTTTCTCCTGAGTCCTCACTAGCAGAGTTAACATCCACATTTCTAACAATATATTCAATGCAATTGAGATTTTTCTGTTATGCTCCTTAATATGCTTCTAGCTTCTGCTCATTGCTAATTTCAAAGCCACATGCCCATTTTTACTTGTTTGTTATGGCAGCATCCCATTCTTTGTACCAAAATCTGTATTCACTTTCTATCTCTACATAATAAATGACCACAAGCTTAGTTGCTTAAAACAATATAAATTTATTATAGTGCTGTTCTGCAGGCTGAAATTCTGACACAGATGTCACTATGCTAAAATCAAGATGTCAACAGTAGTGCATTCCTCTCTGGATTCTTTGATTTTCTGACTTCTACAGGTGGTCTGCATTCTTTGCCTTGTGTCCTCTTCTTCCACATGGTGGTTTGAGTCTTCACATTCCATCACATTGGCTCTTCTTCTGCATTGTATCTCTTTTTCTGATTTTCCTCTTCTGTCTTTCTCTTCCTGTTTTAAGACCCCTTATGATTAATTGGCCCATCTGAATAATCCAAGATAAACTTCCTATTATAAGGGCAGCTGATTAGCACCCTTAATTCCATTTGCAATCTCAATTCTTCTTTGCTACGTAAGGTAACATACTCACAGGTTCCAGGGATTAGGACATGAGCATATTTGTGGAGGCCTAGTTCTATTTCTTTGCTGAGGTTTTTTTTTTTTTTTTTTTTTTTTTTCCCCCAGGAGACTCTGTAACTGACTTTGAAGTATTTTTGTGATGACTCCTTTAAAATGCTTGTCAGATAATCGCAGCACCAAGTTCATGTTAGCGTGAGCATTAGTTGATTGCCTTTTCTCGCCATTGTTGTGATTTTCTTTGTTCTTGGTGTGATTGGCAATTTTCATTCACATCCTGGACATTTTGTCTGTTGTGTCAAAATTTGGGTTCTATTTAAATCTTTTATTTTAGCAGTCAGTCACCTTGTTTAGGTATTGGCTTTAGGGATTTTAAGGCTGAGTTTTAGATGCATACAACTTCAGGACTATTATATTTCTCTGATGACTTGCTTCCTTTTTGCTTTATACATAAAAATGTGTCTTGCCCCACAAACTATTTTATTGTCTTCTGTCACAGCAACAATTTTCCTCATAGAGCCTTTCGTTTTTTTCTTCTTTTCTATCTTTGATATTATGTTCTGTAGTATTCTAGTATTTTTACTTCCACTTATTTAATAATCAGTATTAATTAGAAAAAGTATCATTACATTAAATATATAGTTTTCTATATTTTATCTTGTCACTCCCCCCGCCCCCAGTGTGTTTAACTTCTTTCTTGCTGAAATATATTCTGCCACTGGCTTTTTACTAGCAGTCTCTCTCGGTATTTTTTTTTCCTCTGAAAATGTCCCTATCTTCACTTACTTAGGAATGAAAGTATATCTTAGATTACAATTCTATATTGTGGGTTATTTTTGCTGAGCACTTTGAAAATACTAATTCTCTTGTTTACAGGTAATTTTTTTTTTATTTATTGTCAATGAAATTGGTCCCTGAAGATAATCTTTTAGTTTTTTTCTGATATTTATTTATCTAATTTGCTTTATTGTTATTTTCCATTTTCAATGATCTGCTCAAATCTAGATTAAAAATTAGTGAAACAAATATTTGTGCTATTTCAAAATAAAGATTCATGTCTTTTTGTAATATAGAAAACTCTCAGCACTCCAAAATTCTCTCTTCAGAGCAAATTGTAATTTTTTCCCAGAACCTTATTACCATAATCCTGGTGTATTTTTTATATAAATTTTTGGGAAGTTCACCAAGTGGCTAGAGTAAGTTTAAATTCCATGTTACCTGGAGGTTTATTTAGTCTCAAGGAACTTTTTTTTTTCCACCTAAGACCCACGCAGAACTAGTAGAAGGAATTTTCCTAGTTCCTCTTTCAATGATGAGGCAGGAAATTAAGGTTCCTGGTTGTGTGCATTGACCTCTTTTTTAGGTCTGTCACTTAGCATCATGTCTTCTGTTCCTGAATGGAGGATGACACTTCAGCCTCAGTTTTCAAGGTACACCCAGTTCTCAAGTCCCAGGGGTATCCAGGGCTTCAGTCCTTATGGCCTTAGCTTTCATTTCTCTTCATTTCTACCTCCTGATATTTCTTTTTTCTTCTTCCAAGCTTGGTGATGTATTTAAATGTTTATGGATTGTACACCTGGCATGTCTGTGTTCTTGTAGCAGGAGGGTGGCTTATTCTGCAACATCTCAGTCTGTCATGTTGCCAGCAATCATGTGAGCAAGTCTGAATGTCTACTTTATGGGCAAGGGGAACCAAAGTACTTTGTCTGAGGCTGGGCAGTCACTTCAGAGTCAGGAGTGTTCCTTTACATCTCTTTTGTCAAAAATTGATGAGGTCCAGTCATAAGTCCATTATCTTATTTGAGGTAAGCATCAAGCACAAGGCATGGGGTTATTCTTGACTATTTAGTAGACACATTTAACAGCT